CAAACCACCTCTGCCCTGCTTTGAGAAAAACAATCTGGGAAAGCCTTATTTTATGATTCACAGCATCTCTATGATTCGCCTTAATTCATGCAATGGCATGAAAATGAAATTCCGTGATTCCTGTGAAAATGTAATGAAAATAAAGAGCTTAAAGAATGCTTATCCAGAGCGGATAAAAAAGACATCAGCGCTTGCGCTTTGGACACTGAAGTGAAGCCTAGTGAAGTCGCCCTCGACTCTACTGTGAGCAGCTTGTTCTGAGTAGGAATTGGGATTGAAGAGAGAAGGAAAACATTCGATAGAAGTGGAAGTACAAACAAGGAGAAAACCTAAGCGAAATAAAATTACGAGCCACATTTTGAAATTACTTTGAAAACAAAGTCTATGTCTATTCCAGAATGCCACCTATTATTGATGTCGTTGAGGTTTTTTCAACGATATTACACAGCCTGTCAGATATACGTGTCTCAAGCAAACTTTTCGGTTACTTCTTCGATGGAAACATGCGACCTGGACGTTTTTTATTCTCTTCTCTGCGTTAAAATCCAAATGTTTACGATTTAGGAGACGAATGACAAAAAATTGAAACGTGCTGAATAAAATGCACAGAACGGCCACTATGTGCAAGGATACAAGGTCATCACGGAAACAAAAAATCCTCGAAGACCAGAGGCCAGCAAAAAATTTCTACACCGCTAATGAACTGAAGAAAATGATAACGTTTTTGACATTAATCAATCCCGTTTTTTGGATGAGCTCCCGCATTCTACTTCCATCAGAAATCGTAGAGGGTGTCTGAATGCTTATAGGGCTTAAGCACAACTTCTCGAATTCCTAACAAACGTGCCTAGCCCTTTGGGAATTGCATTTCTCATCCAATCCAAGGGCCAAGGACCTGCTTCACAGTTCGATGGAGGTGATAACGGATGTGAGGGTCGAATGTAAAATTTCGCCAAAAACTCAAAACGTGGCCCCGGTTTTTTGCAGTTCAGTTTTCTTGTAGTTGACCAGAACACGCAAGAAGCCAACACTTCTGCTTTGTTTTTTCCTTTGTCAAGCATTCGCCACATTCTGCATTGTGCATAGGTTCGATTTCTCGTGGTATTTCTTTGATTACAACTCGCACTTTTTAGAAATGGCAGCTACTTTCTCATGTGAGGCTTATTCGTAGTACTTGCAAGACAATCTCAATCATAGTTGTCACCTATCAAAAGTCGACTGCGGTAACCATTCCACCGCACTATCGCGCTCCATTTGCTATTAGTAAACAGCCGTTGGATTGAACGAAGGGATACAAACAAACACTAGGTGGGAGTTTCAAAGTGACGAAACAACGCATGATGGGAAGGCACAAAGGTGGGAAGGGGCAAGCATATGGTATGGCCTAGGAGACGGTTTATTACGGTTTCGAGACGGATGACGCAGTAGTTGTGAGCACCTTCCCCCGCAAAACCGTCTCAGATTGCTCTAACACTCGGTAATTCGAAGGGAAGGAAAAGCCATGAATTTGCGGACGGGTATAGATCCACGTTCCATGTGAAATCTCGTATCCGAATGGGTTCGTCAGTGTGGCATTGAAGAGTTGCAAATGAAAGCGATAAGAAAGACAAATCTTCAATAATGCCATCTATGAGATTTACTACTTAAATTAATATGAAACCAACAGGGAAGGAAGAAGTGTCACTACAAAGTAAACTTTATACAGCACGGATGGCCCGGAGGTTGATTTCTGGACGAATGCTCGTCCAGACGCACCAAACTTTCCGTCAATCATGAACTTTACTATTGACTCAAGCCAGATTCGCTTGGGAGAAAATAAGCACTGATAACTCGTTTTGGCCCACATGAATCATTGCATGGAGCTAAAGCTCATTTAGCGACCAGAGCGATGTGAGAGTTCTGCTGCTGAACTACAGTTCATCATTCCTGGCTTGAAAATTCGGAGTGCCTGAGCTGATTTCAATAAAAACATAACCTATAGACCTTCTAAGCCCTTGTCCCTAGCCTCCAGTCTACATAGTCAATAGATTACAAATGAATGAAAGCAAGCACCGTGAACAAACAAAACTGGTGAGAAGTTTTTAGTCATCACATCCTGCTAGGCATAATGCAGCGCTTAGCTGAAGGAATCTTGATTTTCAGGCTCATAAGTATAAGCAAATAGAGGAGTTCTGTAGTTTTTAATAGCACATTTATCGCGTGGTATAAATAGATACAAGAAAAAACAATCGAAGATGAGAGGAGGGCAAGGATAGTGAAAGCGGAACGACAGCATAAGTGGCAACCGTCGTTATGGGTTCTATTGACACTGTGGACTATGCAAATTAGCTTTTCTCTAGGTTGCATGTGACCGCATGGATTCAAGTTTGGACCAGGAAGACCAGAGAAGCAACAATTTCGCTGGCACACTATCTGGATGAATAAACGAATATGTGACCAGGCTAGAGCAAAGGTCAGTGGCATGACTATTACACGCACACAATTAAAAAGTAAACTTGAGGATCTCAGCCTTCCGAGAAACAAATGTGCTTTCTAGACTCGTCCTAGGCTACTGTGATAAAAAGAATTCTTATTTTCAACTACTCGACTGAAAAGTGAAAGCCTTTCCGTCATTAACCTCACTCACAGCTCACGAACATGCAATCACCCTGGTTTATGATGTAGCAGAGTTCATGGCTTGACTCAAAAATAGGGATCATAGAATCAAAGGTACCCCTATCAGTTAAAGGCACAGGTCACGATAAGAATTCTGAGATCTCCCTATGAATTCGAGGTCCCCCTTATACCATACCTATCAGTATAAGGGCGAAAAACGTCCTGGATAGGGCACAATCAGGAACCAAAGACTGTATCGTGTGAATTCCACACTCCTAGTGGACGAGTTTCAACGGCTTTGTAGAGGCTGCACCATTCATAAGGGAACCAATGTAGGAAATTCAAACAACTCGCCATAACCCGTAGCGACAGTGAAAGGCAATTTTGAGCAGTTATGGTCTGACGTAGTCAGCTATTTGCACGATGGGAGCAAGGCAAATCTCGTCCAAAAACCCTTTACGTGCCATTCCTGTCGCGGTGATCTCGTACAACCTTCACTTCCACTACTTTTAAAAAGCTCGAAGTAGGCGGATTTTCTCGCTTTTTCTGCCTATACATCAACCCTTCCTCTTTCCAACATATAATGGTGGCTCAAAATTTTCGTGAATTGTGCCATTAACCTAGAGAGTTACCATTAAATGGCTGCTTACTGGATTTGATTTAATCGCTGAGGAATGAAGTGGACTATCACAAAATATCTGTGATGAGTTGAACGAAAACTCACCATCGGACACGTTCCTCACAGCTGGTTGCCGATTTTCCCAGTACTTGTACAAAACCTTGCCCAGGATTATCAGCAACTTCGTGCGTGCCAGCTTGGTCTCAGTTTGAGAGAACGATGTGGTCGATTAGGGTTAATTCACTGGTCCGCTAAAATAGCGCTCAGAAATTGCAACTTTGTTGCGTGGACGATTTCTTGCCAGGGAAGATACCTGGAAAGTTTTCTTACCTGAATCTCCAACCCCGAAAACTCCACAAGGCTGCATCTATACTTATGCGAATTGCAGCTACATGTTGCGGCATCAAAAAATATCGATAGCGTATGCGGTGAAGAGACGCAGGTTAGTAGAGAAATCCAGAAATACGCATCGAAGTAGAAACCATACGTACCTTCCTGTACAAAGAATACACAGCAACTACTACTTAGTGAATATACTACATACTTACATGGCGAAAGCGAATCTGTTTTCCCGCTGTAATCGATGATAGTGAGTGATAATGAGTGATAAATGAGGCAAACCATCGGTAAACGGCATGGAAGGATAGGTAAGGCGGAAGGAAATCTATATAGGACTCTGAAACGTCGCCTCACCTCATTCATTTGAAAAATCTCCAAATGAGGGGACCATTATGGTCATGACCATATAAAGACTGGAACAGAACCACCAACCCGAGGTGAAGTTAACAAATTTCAAGAATTTTTATTGTTATAAATAATTTATGACAACTGAATGAGCTACAGTGATGGCTATATGACTACCGTCAACGATACAAAACAACATTTATCAAAATCATCAAATCTTCTCCTTTCATCATTACAACGTCATCATCATCATCATCATCATCATCAAGCTCAATAACTCGCACTTTACACTAAATTTATGAAAAATAAATGTAAACTAACTACTGTAATTTAACTATTATATGTAATAATACATAGTAATTATAATTATATAGGAATCTTTGTGGCGAAATAGAAAAAACAGTCATAGAAAATGATGACAATCTTTATATAAACTTCAGAATTCCGTGCCGAACCCTGAGATTCGATACCCGTCTCATATCTACCGTAGCTACCATGGAAATGTTGAGAGAATAATCGTCATTCACCGCGCGCAATAGCAAATTTTCGTTAAATTAATAATATAATTATAATAATAATATTTTAAATGAATAATCTCATTCAACAATCGGCAATCATCGTTATAAGTAGCAATTACACTTGTTATAATAATATAGCCCTTAACTATGACTATGTTATCGTTATGTAGTCAAGCATAAAAGAGGATATACTGACAAAAAATGACACCGCAGTTTTCCAAAAATCGATATATCGATCGTTATTGATTAGCCACAATCGTAAACTAGTAGACTGGTTACATTACATTTGAATCATTCGATATTCCACCACCTAATCGCTGCAGTACGACAGCTTCTCGTGCTAGTCATGTAAACTCCGCCCACTACAAAAAACCGGGGAACACTCCGCCCACCTTTCCACTCCTTAGAATCTACGTAAACACAGTACCAAGCAAAAATAGAAACTTAGAAAAGATCAGTAATGGAATATAATTATTCCAACCTTCTAAAATTATGGAGAGAACGCAGTCTGCTAGCGGCTAGGTGGCGATAAATATATACAACCTTGATGTATACGTTCTAAAGGAAAGTGTCAATTATCACGATTAAATAACAATCGACTCCGAGCTGCTAACAGTCTCATGACGAGCTGTGGTGGTACTTTCGAAAAGAGGCGCAAGTGGTGGACGTTTCTGAGGAGGTCGTAGACTTGGACAGCCTTGTCCATCGGTATCGAAGAAATGTCGAAAAGTAAACTCGTAGAAAGCCGGATTGTTAGGCGCTCGTTTGCCGAGTGTTTCAAATGGCGATTCGTTGATCTGAAAAGAAATCGTTGTTGTACTGTCATTGATGCAATCAAACAAAAGAAATTTCAAAGCTATCTGACCTCAACTGCCTCGAAATTCGATGTGTCTTCGGCATGTTCCACCCTTGGTATGAATTCAGCACGAGTGGATCGCAAATTCTTGAAGTCGACTCCCTAAAGTATAAATGCTGCTATATTTGGAACTGTTCGACAGCTGTGCTATGACCAAAATGAAGAATAAAAAAAGTGAAGAACTACTACTGACCCGAAACCACGGATGGTCCATCACTTCACGTGCTCCTGCCACACCGATTCGATTATTTCGATCGCAGCACAGACGCTGGATAAGCATGATGCAGTCCCTTGACAGATGACCACCACCGGCACGCGGTGAAACGTCCAGATACCGTGACCAATTTACGATCTAAATGAGACGCCGTCTTTAATCAACTTCTCGGGGATGATGACAAGGCTGATATTTGGTTTCGTCAGTCAGCAATAATGTTTCGTTTCTTTCAATATACAATTTCCAAATCAGTCAGGATCAGCCATGAATGCAGAGTTAACACAGAAAAAGGGCTAGAAACTAGTCTGACAATGAGCTATATCTAGAAGGAATGGACTTTCACAATGGATGGCTGTAGAAAACTGTTGACTCAAAAAAGTGCAATTACGCACTCACTTTGTGATACCACTTTTAAGCGAAAGTCGAATGCGTGGCACATACTCGAATTATACACTATACAAAGCGGGAAAACATGAAAATCTGACCTTATATTGCGTTTCTT